CTTTTACAGCTCTTCTTTCTGTTTCGGTATATTTCTAAAATTGCCTTATGTTTGTTTCTATTTTTGTTCTTCTCCCTGCTCACAGCAGCTTTTTCAGCCTGTCAGCCTTCTAATGTTTGTTTTTAACCTTGCCAATGAGGTACACACTTCAGCCTGTGAAGACCAAAGTTCCCTCAGCCTCCCTTGCTGTCAGTTTGGGCTTAGCTCTTGTACCTTAGGGGTTGCATGTAGACACTTGTCAACATTTGACATGTGAAAAGATGTAGCCACCATGTTTCTGACTGGTCAACAAGATGTTCACGTGCAATGTATGAAATCAACAAAGATACTATGAGACCACTTTGCACTTGTGTGTCTAACGTATATGTGTTCTATCATATCTGAATCACTTCTCTAATGCCCATGATGTGGAACAAGTCTGACTAGATAAGACTTGCTACCCAAGTACATCTAGCCCAGCTTGTCACACAAGCATGTCCAGCACTTCACCTGGCATGCAGCGGAGTGTAATTCCATGCATGTACAGCTGATATAGTCTGGAATTCCCAGGTTTCTTTAGACTTTAGTGGGACTTTTGGAACTACTGACATAAGCTCACTAAGCTGATTGGACTCTGTAAAATGTATACAGATGGTCAAAGAAGCCTTACAGTGGCAAATAATATCTTAGAAAATGTGCAGATAGGGAGACTGCCTTGGGAACATGTTCATGGCAACCTTCCCATCTGGATGGTAAGCATTTTCAGCTATGGATTTACCAGGAATTTTTGATCTAGAGCCAATTTTCTTCAGCTCTTTATTCATCTCCTGTAGTGTACACTGCTGTGTATATACTTTTACAAAGCCATGTATTGACTAGAGTTACTGCCATTAAGCAGTAGAACTCTTTCCAAATCACGGACAAAACTACAAATAGCCTTAAGGAACAGTCAATTGTATCTCAAGGGAAATTTAAAAATCCCCCCACCTTTTACTACCTACATTTAACCTATTTTGTATGGGGTTTTTATGCCATTAGGCACAGGCAAAATAGTGCTGCCAATATTTCAGACCCTCAGCATTCCATCAGAAATGGGCTGCTTTGAAAACTGTATTCAGCAGTAAGTATTTAAACTGTACTTATATCATTGTATCAGTATCACAAAATTGGCTCCCAGTGGAAGTCTGAGTTTTTTCTCCTGAAGAGGGAACCCCTCCACAGTTCATTAGCTTCTTTTCTGTATCGTATTGCAATAGACCAAACAAAATAAGCAAAAAAGCACTTAATTAATTTTAAGTTTCCTGAAATGGGTTACATAATATAAGGCTGCCGGTGCACAAAAGTTGTAAAATATATACATTTAATAAGCATTGAAAAGAAATTCTAATTATTTTGCTCATCAAGCAAAAAGTCTTATATTTCAGAAGTATTTTTCACCTGTGGTTATCCTACTTTATGAAGTAAGAGAAAAAAGTTTCTTAGTATTACCTGACCTTTTTTGAATCCCATATTTGCAAAAAAACATTATGCTGGAACCTTAAGTACCAGGCAAATTGACCCCAAAGGCATACCGACCACAGTTGTTGCCAGTAGAAAACATCTGGCAGTTTGAAAACCATCCTGTTCTCTTTTGCCACCCCTGAAAGCCCACTCTCTTCAAAAGGCTTCATGCTGGGAGTTGTGCAGCAGAGCTTCCATGACTGATTAGCTGGCTGCAAAGCATTATCTGTTTGTTTATGAACTCACAAAGCAATAAGGACACAGCAAAAATGTCCACGTCCAATGCTTTGTGCCTGCCTCCTGCTATTACTGACCGTGTAGTGAGGGAAGGAGAGATGTATATAACATCATGCAGCTTATAAAAGGTGCGTGCTGGCTTCACATTTGTAGCACTCCCTAAAATATGTGCCTGTATCCTGCTAGCAAGGATAATTTGGTGGCAATTTTGATAATTAGATCATTTTTACATGCCTTAATAACAGCATTCAGTAGTGTACATTAAGCTCCCACATGGACAATGTCATTAATGCTTTGACTTTTTCCTCCTGGGGAAGCAGTAGGCCGAGTAGTAAAATTAGGAATTAGTCATATTGACAGGAAGTAAGAGTTTTATATATGCCATATAATGTGTTATATAGACTGTGGCATTTAATTGCAAGGGTTGCAAAAACAAAAGTTCTGAATGAAGCATAAAAAGAATTTCCAGGAAAAACAATAACATTTTACACTTAATTTAAAATTTCTAAGTTATTTAATTGACTAAGAAATACTATCTATCTGCCAAATTAGGTACATTATTTCCTTGACATTAAAAACTAATTTTACATACAATTTCATCATATTATATGCAATTAGTCTTTCTTACAACCATGAACTTTTGTTCTGTCTCCATCAGCTGTTTGACATGTAAACATGGAAGAAAAGGGTAAGCCCCTGACATCTAGACAAATAGCAACCTGTAACCTAAAGATCTTCACGTGAACGATATTTTAGCTATATTACATTGTATATCTCCAATAAATAGGCCTGAATACAAACCTTAGATCTGAACTCTGGATTTGGGACCTACACATCACCTTCAACTATCAGAACCCAAACACTCCGTTCTAAACTCTTAAGCATACAAATTTGGATACTGAACTCACTGCAGTGTTTGGCTCAGAAACATTTTAAAACAGGCTCGGCATGAAAACTTAGACCCTGGTCAGGGCTGGGTCTTCAAGAGTTACTTAGTCTTGTTTCACACTGCTTTCAAAGTGTGCTGTTTGTCATGTGTAGCTGTAAAGATGGAGTGACTTGGATTGAGCAGAAAGATCAGACAACCTGGTCATTTCTCCTGTGCTAAACTATCTAAAAGCACTACATAGCAAAGGAAGAACAGGCTTGTTTTGAGCATTGATTTCATACTGAACCTTCATCCAGCAGAGGATTTAAGCACTAAACAACTAGGAGAAAGCTTCCTCATAAACTCCTTTTTGATTATAAAACATGGAGTTGCAGACTCTGTCCAAATTCATCTAAATCTCCTAAAATCTCATTACAGATATTTTTCAGACCATCTTTCTTCCGGATCTCTAGCTCACAGTAGTTTTTTGGCCACTTTAACCTTTGCTGACAATTTATCCTTCTGCTGCTCCTACTGAATTCTCTCTCAAGTGTTCAGCAGGTTCAAAATCTCCCTATGATATGTTAAAGGTGTGATAATTTTTCAGCATTCAGCCCTAGTTGTATCCATATCTCCATAGTCTATATTACAAATTACAGATCTCGGTTTAAGGAATTACATCTTTGTTTTAATGCATAATTGATGTTTAAGGGCACTGTAATCTTCAAGGTTTCAGGGCAGCTAGTTGAAGAATTATTTCATATGAATGGGAAGAAAGTTAGCTTCCCTTTGGTTTATATCACTTGTATGGATATCAAATAGACAGGAATTTAAAAGACAGCCTCTAATTTGTCTCTGTGTACTAAACATAAAAAGAAGAAGAAAGCTTTATGCAATTCAGAACAACTCTGTCAAAAGATTTCTATATACAGGTACTTATTCTGCATCACTTCTCGTTTGCATATGAAGTCCTGCCTGACAGATCTCTGAGTGCAGAGTAAATTAGAAAAGTTAATCCATTATTTATGTGCTGCATAGTCTAAAATTACCAAGTTTTTTTCACATACAGTGTGCTAAGGTATAAAATTAGTATAAAAACTAGATCCAGAACATTTTTTTTTTTGCTTTTTCTTGAAATCAGAGCATAAAAGCATTAGCAATGGTTTTCTTCTTAATTAACCACTGGTATTTTAAAGTGTCAAGATGTATGCTGCAATGGCGAGCTTCTGAACCTATCCTGAAGAAAAAATACAAATTATTATCTAGAAGTTATTGAACTGAGTTCTGTAATGAACTGGGTAGAGCTAATGGATAAGAAGCAATAAGAAAACCTAGCAAAAGCTGAAGGGCAAAAGTCTTCAAGCAGATGTGAAATGACCCAGGAGAACAGATGACAGAGAATAAGTCAGTAAATAGAGTAGCAAGGTCTGGTAAAGTTGTCACTGGAGAACCTGTTGAATAAAGTTGTATTGAAGGATTTTTTTATGACTTCCACAGTATAAAGGAGGATTCCTGATAGCATAAAGCATCATCTTATTTCAGTCCATAGAAAACTCAAAGAAGGAAGAGTGAAATACATATATTTCAGTTTCAGACAGTGTTTTTTTGAATTTGGTATTTAATACGTTAACTTTGAAAAGAAAACCCAGTAGACTACAATTTGGTCTTAATTTCAACAGTCTACCCTCTCTCTAATACTTTATTTGGCTGAAGTAGGTAGAACTTTCACCTGATCAGAACTGTCTTCATCTAGGTAGACATAGATATCTTTGTGTCTATACTTTTTTTGAAGGCTATCTCTCAGGGCTTTTAGTAGTAGCAAAACTGAAGGACTGGATAATTTGATTTCTACTCTATTGTTTCTAATATGTTGCTCAAGTTCTGACTTCAGATACAAGTAAGTGATCCCGATAAAGTTTTAAAAAAATAACTATATATATTCTGTTTTAAGTGAAATGTCTAAACAGTATTTTTTGCTGAGGTGAAGATAAATATTGAATTTTTGGGGGCTGAAAAAGTCCCCTATGTCTGAGTCATGTTTCTGGTGCAAACTCACTGTAATCTGTGAAATATGTGAGTGCGAATGGAGTGGAATTTTCCATAAACTGATGCCACTATAATGTGCACTGTGTCAAGTTCTGTTTACAAACATTTAGAAAAAAATATCAAAAGTCTGTAACTGGATGAGATCTTTAAAATGTTTCTAAAGAAGCTTTTGGCAAAGTAGAAAAATAGATATTAATTCACAAAATATCTCCTGCAAAATATCGTGGTTAAATAATGTCATACTGATTTCTAGCAATAGAGACCTTATGCATGAAAGAACTTCCAGGTTTCTCTCAGAAAACCTATTTGATAATGTAAGATTGCTCCTTATACTGAGTATTATTAACTTTTATTATTAATTTTATTTCAGGAGATTTAATTCATGGAAGTTGACTGATGAAGAAATAAGTTTTGTGAAATTGTTTAGAGCCACACATGGAAGACTTACAAATAACAGTATGGTGACAAACTCACTAAGGTGCTGTAGAAAAGCTAGATACTTTCCTTTGATCATAAGATAAAATGAACTTCATAAAATAAGGGCCTGATGATGGAAGATATTCTAGTACTGTAATATATAAATAGGAGTATGGTGGGATTTTCCAAACACTAAATACAAAAAACACCTAAGAACTTTAGCTGACTCACATTTATTTCCAAGAAGGTACAACTTTATTATCATCAGTGACATAAGAAGAATATCAAACAAGTAATGGAAATTTCACAAGAAGTGCATATACATGTATACAACATGCGTCACAGCATGTATAGGTATCACAGTGATGACAAACAACAGAGTACTCTTTTTTTTTTTTTCCTTTATTATTTAGGTCTCTGAAATTCAGGTATATATTTTCAGAATGGTGATAGATCCAGAATGGGTCATTTGTCTTAGGCACATTTGTACATAAGCATGCTTTAGCATTAGGGAAAAGGGCTGCAAAGAGCTTTCCCAACCAGCTCCTCCAAGGCAGTGAGACCTGGTCCACCATCAATTAGTTGCCTGTGGATGTTTGAGTTCTACAAGGAAGCAAAGCTTCATATCTCTGATGGACCATTTCCAGCAGCCAACTGGTCCCACATGCTGAGAGCTCAGCATGAGACTGGGGCTTTGTGAACAGCAGTTGAGTTCACAAAACAAAAATGATGAGTTCAGACTTGGGCCCAGAGCAGTTACCCATGCATGTATCTAGTGCAGTCTCAAGTCTTGAGTTATCCAGCACAAGGGTATACTTCAACATGGAGAGTCAGGAGTTTAAACTTTAACATAAGTTTAGTAGGCTAACACAGCCCACTGGTGAAGGTGGAGAGTATTATAGACCTTTCAGTTCTATACAGAACAATTCTAACAGTTTTAATTGCAAAAGTGAACTGCATTTAATTTATGGTTGAATAGGGCCTGGTACTAGTCTGATATCAGATAGAACCATAACTAAGCTAGTAGCAGTTTAAAACCAGACCCTGAATGAAGATGAACTGTCCCAAAATCAGCGTTTGAGATGCTGCCCTAATTGAGTTGGGTTCTTCATTTTGACTTTCAAAGCAAGTCATAAACAAAACAGATATATGAGCTCCATCTATTCAGATGAGAGCATCTGTTACTCTAGGACAAAACTATTCTCTGCTGCCTTTGAATTAACATCAACAGGAGTTTGAAGTCACACATATCTATGAGCAGTATGCTGATCTGAAGTCATAATGAGAATTCCATCATTTGACAAGAAACCCTGCATGTTTTTGTATATAACTTTAAATACAAAGTAGCAAATTACTTCTCAGTGTTCAGTGACACACAGAACAGCAGCCAAAAATAGAATAAATGTACTTTTGATTTGCATAAAAATCACACTAGGAAAGAATGTGCTATGGTCAGAAAGATAAAAATGACAAGCCAATGAGAGCAGTAGGAGATAATATAATTCTTGTGTAAAGTATTTCCGGTTTGAAACACTGGATATTTTAAAGAAAAGTTTAATGTGCTTCTGAACAATTTTAAATCTGTATAGTTCAAAAACTAGTAAAATATTGTCATTTAAAATCTGACTGTAATGAGCAACATAAAGAAGATTTTGCCAAAGTAGGTATTGTCAATGAGCAGCAAAGAGATTACTTAAAAAATGGGAGCAGAAGTAAATAATTCATTCCAAACAATCTGCATCTTAATGGAAATATAAAATAAACTCACACAAGCCCATGGCAATATAGTTTTTAAAAATAATGAAAATTTAAGTGATACAAGAATATGGCAGAAAGAAAAATATAGTATTAACTCTGTCCCCAAGATTTCAGGCAAAAATTTCAGTCTATTGTTCTCCTAGCTTAATCCCTGCTTCTTGGATTAATGGATATAATACTTTCAGTTGTGTTCTTATATATCATACTACAAAGCATCAGCTATCTAAAAAGGGCTGGTTGCTACCATTATGAAATATTTTATAATAAGGATAAATTTGATGGTTCAATTTATATTTTTTTTTCAGATCATTTTAATATTGATTTTTGCTGTTGTGTTATAAACAATCTGCATTGTTTCTTTATCAGTTTAACAGTTTATGATGCAAACAGCTACCATACAAACAGCATGTAATATTCATTTCTTTGTGTAGCTCATCCAGTAACATGGTAATTCATAGTACAGGGGAAACTCAAAGCAGTAGGTACCCAGGGCTTGATCTTGAATAACGCAGAGTAGTCTGCCACTCAACCAGAAAAGCACTTAAGCACATATTTACAGTTTGAGTAATTGAATTTTTGTCAGGAGATGTACTGAAATAAAGCACACAGTCTTTCTTGATGCAGTTCCAGAGTGCTCAGAACCGTTTATGTCTGATAAAGCCATATATTTGCTGGCAAAGTTGTTTGCTGGATCAGACCTGCTTCTAATACCACTTTTTACTATCATTTTGTCCTATCCTAAGTGACAAAGCTTCTCTACAGTTATTTTGGAGCATCATATCTGTGACTGATGTAGCATCAGTGTCCTTCTTTCCTTATTCTCAAGATGTTGATATTGATGTGAAAGCACATACAGATATGATTTCTATTATTACCCCATCTTTTTTTCCATACCCTCCTCCACTTTTCCTCCAAAGTTATTACTGATGTGAAAACCCCTTTCTGGTCCAGTGAAGCTACTATTCATCTGGCAAAGAAAAAGATTTACTATCCTAATTGAAAGTGCTGTGTCTGAATGCTTTCACAGGTGAGAAACTAGAATGATCTAATATATACCTAATAAAGTCTCTAAACTGAGAATCACAAGGAGATTTAAAGGAAACCAACCCTATACCCACAATTCTAATAGAATACTTGTATTTTGACAACTTAATGGACTTATTTTTGAGGACAGATTTGCATTGTTGACAGATAAAATGTAAAAATATGTATCCATGCAGGTTGGACATATTTGTAGTACAGCTCATATTACAAAAACATGATACATTCACCTGTTCTTAGATAACTAAAAGCAAACAAGAAAAATAAATATAATTTTAATTAAGAAATATCACCTCCATTCTCTTCTCTTTTGATACAGAAGTTGTTCATGTCCCTAGCCTGTCCTGATCTAGAAGATATGAACAGAGACTCTTAGATAATGAAAATATCTTGATAAGAAGCTTTTGTCTTCCTTTGCATTGCTTGGAATGTCTTCTTTTTATTGTCTTCAGTAAGAACAACATGAAGGGGATTTAATATTTGTAGAGGTACAAAGGTGAGGAAGCACACGGGCACTTATCAAAACATTCTTGCTGTCCAACTTGGACCCTGCCACAGAAGACTCCATTCAGCCCAGTGATTGTGAAAGAGGATGCTCCAACTGGCTGTGGAGAAAGCCTTCTGAGAAGGGGCTTGCGCTTGTCATACTGCTGTCAGGTGTATGTGGCCCAATAGGAAGGACAGACACCATATTTACTTGTGGACTTCACAATATTAAAGAGCCTGGAGGGATGAAAGAATCTATTTAGTTCAAACAGACTTCTTTATATGTCATTTGCCTATTCTCCTTGTCTCACCCCAAAATTTCCACCTCTGTGAAGGATAACAGGAAGGATTCTCACTGGGCAGAATGAGGAATAAACAGGTAGGCTACAGTGGTAAGTATGGCAGAGAAAGAAAGTGCATATTTTGCCCTGGAGATTGAAAAAGCTTCCAGTCATCCTGAAGTACGTGCCAAAAGACCTTAGGGAGGATCCAAAATCTTTCCTCTGAGCTCAGAATGCAATCTGGAGGCATCCTGTCTAACTTCATTAGTCCTCATTCTCACAAAGGATTAACCTATCATGATGCCATGTGAGTGTTTATCAGTGAAAGAACCTCAAACTTATTCTCATGGGCATAAGTCATAATAATAAGGCATAAGGCATAGTGCTAAGTAAAACTGGTTTGATGCTTTGCCCATTAGTAGTAGTGGCAAAATTAATCAATGGTTTCAATTATGTGATTGTCAGTGCAAATCTCTACATGTTTTTAGTTTGTATTATTCTCACAGAGAACATGTATATCCCAGATGTCAAATTTTGTAAGAGAATAGATGAGCCTACAGGTATTTTGTAAGAATTCATAATATGGAATAATTCACTCTGAGCTAATAAAAGGGTGGAAGACTGAAAAATAGATATATTCACTGTACTCCTGTGTACTGTCTTCTTTTTCAGTTTAGTTGAATTATTTCTGATTTCAAACTTAACTTGTAGAGGAACATCTAAGGTTTTGACATTAATTCTGTGAAGCACCAATCAGATTTTGCTGCTGACTGGATTTGACAAGTAAGTTCTAAGATTGCAGAACAGTTCTTAATAACCAGTCAAAATCACTTACCAAAGCTGTAAGGGAAAAATAAATAAATAAATACATATGCTGCTTATAAACATTGTGCTTTTGTTCACAACGCTGTACATAAGTAGCATTTTTGTCATTAAAGCCAACAATATTGAATAAAACAGCCCTATAAATGGATATATTTCAGTGCTTTTTGGTCATGAAGAAATATGGTTAGTGAGGTTACTACATGGATAAATGAGAAAAAGCCTATAACCTATGACAAAGAGATGGTTCGGCTGATTTTTATTCCAAAATTTCCATTGTAAGGCTTAGCTGACAGAAAAGGAACAACTAAATGCATATATTTTGCTATAATTAAGACTAGGTACAAGATGTGAATCTTGGAAAGGTTATGAGGCATTGTAAACTAAAATAACACAAGTAGGTCCTCTGGATTCAGATAATGAACTCTCTTTGCTGAGGGAACATTTATCACATGTGCTTCTGTGCTCCTCTGTGCATAGATGTTTCATGCTTTCAGTCTGTTACCCATCGGATGCATAAATAGTACTACATTCATTCTTTTTTTTTTTTTTTTTTTTTTTTAAGTTAACATTTCTATGACTTAAATTATGCAAAACCATTATTACAATTTGCCTGGCTACATCATGTTCAGCAATACATATTTTAAAGATATTTTCTGTCAGGAAGAACTGAACAAAAAGAAAAGGAGAAAAAATCTGCCTTGCTTGCTATGGAATATCTTCCAGCGCATGAAAGAAACATAGCATAAAATCAGAGAAAAAAAGTATTCTGACAAACAAGTAAGAATTTTATTATTTTGCTAGGATGACAGCACATCTACCATGGGTTGATACAGTAAGAGTTAGCTTATGAACTTGAGGTGGGAAGGTTTTGTCCTCAAGTGAATGCTTCATCTACAGTGTCATTCAGCTTGAGACTGAAAAATATAAGCATAGGTGTACCTGTAGGTGTCTATAACTAAGCTGAGCTAGCTAAACGAGCTGCTACAGTCAATGGATGTCTAGACATTACATCCAGGAGAACCCCTAAGGCAATTCACCTGACCAGCCAGGGCTGCCTTATTCAGGGGGAACTAAATTACAGTCCATTGTCTTGAAGTGGGATTCAGCTGACTAAATAGATTCAGCTGGTGGCACTGCAGCTGCCATACGGCACAAAAATATGCCTGTTTATTTGTTCACAGCACTCCACATTTAACAAATACCTCAATATAACAGATAAAAATCATATTACCAAACTTTTGGCCATGTAAGAACTCATTGTTTTCCCTAAACTACTTTCTAGGTTACTGAAGTTGTCAATGCAAACAGTGATTAATCCCATTGTAAGACAGGTATCAAACACATTATAATTAGGGGAAAAGACTCCCTGCAAGTCCTATTGAGGAGGCCCTCATAAATTCACTACTCCCCAAATTCAGTTTTTAATGCTGTAGAGAATTTTTAAATTTTCAGGAACCTCGATGACAATGTGCTCAGGGCTTGACTCTATGCATGGCATGCAGGCTTCCCTTGGGCATATCAGCCAGGGGTTTGTGTGTGTTGTGTCAGCGGCTGAGCCCTGGGAGCCAGCTGTGGCAACCTCTTTAGCAGAACCCAACACCCAACCCAAACTTGCTGTGAAGGTTTCACCTACTGGTGTGTGGATCTAGATTTGCACTTTGTAGTCACCATGATAGAAAGGAAACTACTTATCTCAAGATGCAGTTATAGATCACTCTACTCTAATCTTCTGCACATTATATGAGTAACTTTTGTACTCAATAAACATAACAGTATCATTTAAACAGCCCCTGCTAGACTGAGTGATACTGAGCACATTAGATACAGTTTGTCTGTCTAGACATTTTATAGAAGGCTGAACAAGTCAATGGTAAATGAAATGGAAATATTTTTAGCAGAAATTACTTCAATTTCTTTCCTTCATAAAAAAAAAAAAAAAAAAAACAAAAAACAAAAAACAACCAAAAACCAAAATACAAAACAGCAGCCTGTTTTGGCAGTGAATACACAGTCATTTCAGTCTTACAGCTACTTTGTTGCCTACAAAAGATCTTTGTCTTTGAGAAAGTGTAAAAAAATGTGCAGTGAGCCTGAATTTAGAGATGCAGTTACTGCCAGTCAAGAAGTCCTGAAGACTCTTAAGTTGGGAACATCAAAATTCAGGTTCTAAAAATTAATGGAGTCTGTTCAAAACTGCTCTATTAATCAGTCTATTCTGCTGCATGGCACATGTCTTAGTAATAGAAAAACCATCACTATGGCTATTAAGAGAACAAGAAGAAAGATAGCCATCTAGAAGACGTGAGGGACAGAGCTAAAATGTGAGGTCACGAGAAGATGGTTCGCCTCAGCTGCATAGAAGGTGCTGCCCAAAATGGTTACATCTGGGAGATGGACTCTTGTCCTTTCTTTTTTAGGACTTTTGCTTACAGTGACAGAAATCAGATATTGCCAAGAAACCATGTACTCATTCTTTTCTGCCTTTTTTTTTTTTTTTTTTTTTTTTTTTTTTTTTTTTATTCTTACACTCTTACACTCTTACCTCTTTCTTGAAAGTAATACCACATTCTGGCACTAGCCAAATGAAGAATTCAGTATGTGTGTGGATCTGCCTTCAGTGGGACTACATGTTACTAAGGCAAACACTGGAGCTGAAGTGTTGTGCCAGATTTGGTCTAAAACACTCACCATCTTTGACTCTGACCAGGCAAAGCATTTAAACATATGCATGATCCTAGGTTTTCACTTCCTCCGACCTGAGTGAGACATTCATTAAGGGAAGGTATAAATGTGGTAAAAAGCAATAACAATTAAGTATGTACATCACTGTTTTGCTGGGCAAAGGCCCAAATGCCTTCTCTTAAAATATTTATAATAGGCCCTAATCCTGCATGCTTGAAGCCTGGGAGGGCTCTGGCTTTCAGTTGTGTTCCCTTCCATATCCAAATGCCTTTCAAAATTCAGTTCTACTTTCTGGGATAAAATGAATGCTTGTAAGAATACAGTAATTAAACACAATTACAAAGATGTGCATAATCCATGTTGAACAACCACAGGCCCCTTTCCAACAACCTTTTTGTTCCTTCCTCATCATCTGTAATTTTCCTGGCTTCTTATTTATGCTCCTCAGTTATCAAACTGGTTTTGAGCGACCCTGGTAAATTCTTTGTAATTTTGTTGCTGTTGCAGACGCCTACTCCCCTTCTCTGACATGTAAAAAAATACAAACCCAGCAAGGTGAGAAGACTCAGTAATCTGTGGAATCACAGCTCTGAATCACAGTTTCCATTGGCTTTGCCAGCTTTTACTCAGGACACTGTTTATAAAATAGCCTAAGCAGTCACAAATAAAATGTGATTTGACCTAACTGCTCCTGATCCATAATGGAATTGGTGATGGATTTGTGGGGATAATCTTATGAAATAAAGACCACATTTGGCCTGGTAATATTGGGAGATGTTGGCCTCTAGAGCAGCTGTGCTTCAAACGTCATAAACACTAATATTTTCTAAAAGGTTTTGTGAAATATGTCTGTGCTATTTTTAAAGAACATCATTGTCAAATCTGCAAGTCAGTTGACTAGATGTGGGGTTTTTTTATAAAAATAGAATATTTTCATGTCAAATCTTTTAATGTTGTTGGGCAGAATTATTTTCAAAATGCACATAGTTTGCGATCTTACATTATGTCTTACACTGCATGTAGCTCTTTTTATCTATTGTCAAACAGTACCAAATTTCAGATCTCTTAGCCATCCAAACAGAAGATATATGTAATTAACACTAGATGGTATGTATTGAATGTGAGCATATAATGGCCTAAATCTTGTTGATTACTTCAAAACCCTGAAATATTTATTGGAAACAGAAGGCATGGTGAAAAACTTCCACTGCTATTGGTTAAATTATCAGGTTAATTAGTAGTAAGAAAGGGGCAGAAATACTTTTTTGAATCCTTTGTATCAATACTGCACTGTAGCCCTTCAACTGCTATGAAGTTCAGCTTATTTATCCCAGGTAAGAATCAAGCTCTGATGTATGCATCTAAGGCTTCAAAAGGGGCTTCTCATGATCTGGGAAGTATAGAATAATATGAATGTATATAAAATATATATTATTATGTTATTATATATGGGGAGTATTCATACTATAGAATAATAGCAATATATGGAATAATATTTTATTATATACTGTATATAGAATACTATATTATTCATATTATATATTCAGGATAAGACAGTAGCGTGTTATATGAGAAATAATATAGTTTTCTCAGGCTCCAAAACAAGCTAATGGATAGACAGGTTTCTCCAAAGAGAGATTCAGAGCATTCATCTGGGTTTCTGCACTGAGGCAACCTCTCAATTTGCTCTTTTCCCTCCACTGGTTATACAGACAGCCCAGAGAGACAGAAGATGCAAAAGAAGATGTGTGAAGTTATGTGATGAAACCATCCCCTGCCAGTCCTAATTCTAACCCACTGGGGCTCAGGAAGTATTGTACATCACAGTGGTGTGAGGGAGAAAATAATAGGAATAAATGCTCACAGGCATCTATGAAGTGCCTGTCAAACAAAAAGGAGGGAGGGAAAGGGAAGAAAAGCACCAATTATTTCTTTCTTCCATTAATAGGAGCCTTGCGAAATGTATTGCTTGGCAAAGATTCAATAATATTATTTCTTTGGTTTTGCTTCTCATGGGCTCATTGTCAACTGTGGTGGGCTTTTGTGTTATTTTTTAGGGTTTGTTTTTGTTTTGGCTTTTTTTTTATAATGTCATCCTCATTCAACCACATAAATCCCACTGTTAACTAGATCTCAAGA